TACAAGCAATAATTCGCTTTTAAGAATAGTTGTACGCAAAGATTCAAGCTGTATCTTGCTTGGAGAAGAATTGTACAATTTTATTCTAATCTTTATTAGTAACCCATAGGCCATTCTTTTATATATTTTCAGCGTATTATTATTATTTTTTATATTATCAAAGAAAAAGAAAGCATTACATTTTACTATTAATAAAAATAAAAAGAGTTCACAACGGACGCTTTATCATTTATAGAAGAAACTGTTACAAAATAAATCGAAAACTAACGGAACCGTGCTGAAAAATGATGAGGAGATGCTGAAAACTGATGCTGAAACGCTGAATGATGAGATGCTGAAAAACAATGAGGAGATGCTAAAAATGATGTAGATAATGACGTAATTCCGTGTCGTAACTAAAAAGGGAGCTTGCTTTTTTTTATTAGCATGTCGTCATGATGAATAATCCACAAATTGCATTTGTTGACATTCGTGACGAAATTTGCTGCTGTTTTGATGAATAATTTACAGCAGCATCATTGTTGACAATTGTGGTGGGAATTAGCTGAAGAGTTTACCAGATTGGGGATCGGTTAAAGCGTAGTCCATCCGATAATCTGTCCGAAAAACAAACCAATGAGGATGCGTAAATTTTTAATCAACCCGGCAAAACAAATTTGAAGCAAAGACAAATCTTTCTTGGAGCACTAATTAAAAATGTCGGGAAGGCAATTTTAAATATAAGTTCGATCTCCTCCCCAACCCTAATCCTAACGTTAAAATTACCTTTTAATATTTTTAAGATATGTCACGGGATGGACTACGCTTTAACCGTTCTCCAAATTGGGAACCTGCGGCATTGTTGACAATCGTGATGGGAATTGCTGTAATCATTGCTGTAAACTACCAAGTTTCATCATTTGTCCCCATAAAGCATTCTCATTATATATAATGAGAACTGTATATATGCGCTTCCTTAAGATTATAACTTTCAATTCATTAAGCTCATGTTACATCCACGCACAAAAAGGATTATATCAAAATATTGAAACTGAGAAACTTGAATCACAAAATGAGCTGAAAGATCTCAATAATTTTTTTGTTCAGGTTATCACAAGTATTTCTTCGACTTGAATCACATAAGTATATTTTTTAAGCTTCCAATAGAAACAAGTTAATATTCTTTTCTTGATAAATTGTTATCGTGATTGATAAAGATAGAATTTGATATAATTTCTCGATAGTTAGTTTACTACATATTTTCTAAAATAGACTATCCTTTATGATTATAAACCTAAAAAAATTAGAGGGATAGCTTATTTTTGAAGGTTACACTATTTATATTTTAGGACAGGGTAGCGTGGTAAAAATGGTTAAACATAGAATTCGAAGTTAGTGAGAAGAAAATGAATTTATAGATTCTAGTATAATTATTGTTACAGTACAGGCAGCCTAAAGAGCGCCAATAAAAAAACGGCTTTAAAATACTACTATGGTGCATAACATCTAAAGTCATCAAATGTTTGTATTTTATAAAATGCATAAACATCTTTACTAAGAAGTAAATACAAAATTTATGCTCAGAAAGCGCCTATTCTATCATATTCACAGATTAAATTTTGTATTTACTTCTTAGTAAAGATGTTTATGCACCGTATAAAATACAAACGTTTGATGACTTTAGATGTTATGCACCATAATCTGTCAATATTTTTTATATTAAGATAAAAGTAAGTAAAAATTATAGTATTTTTCAACAACAAAATTGTTACTTATTTTTATCTTAATAGAACATTATTGAAAAACTAGTAGCAGTTTTTTATTGGCGCTCTTTTAGGCTGCCTGCACTGTACAACGATAGATTGCATAGTTTTGTTGCAAGTAAAATGAACGGAATGATTCATTCATTTCAATAGAATATAAATTACATATAAATAAATTATAAATTATAAAGTATAGTTATCATTTTCTTCTAACAAAGGACAATGAATGTTCTTATGTTATATTGTCGAATGTGTTTCATCATGTCTTATAAGTCATTCGATATATCTTCGTTCACTTTAATTTCAAGTGGTATACAATATTAAATATAATTTTACCTTTGTTTGGAACATACAAACTGACACTTGTAGAACCTAAGTATTTTCAATTAATAAAAAATAATTGATATTTCGACGAACGCACTAGCATCAGTTGGAATTGAAATTAATTCTGTGAAGACTTGACTGGTGTAAATCGCATTTAAGTGGATTATTTGATATTTGTATTTTTCTGTTCATCCTTATCAAGTTTAGTTAATCTCTCCCATTCTAATTCAAGAAATTCTTTGATTTCTTTATGTGTTTGGGATTTTCGAAATTGAAAATGAAAACTATTCGGTTCGTAAATACGTATACATTTGATAAAGCGTTCGAGTTAACCAACAGTTGGTCTGTTTTCTGGAATTAGATCACAACATTTCTCAATAATAATTTGCACTATCTAGGAAAATTATTTTGTATTGTAGGTCGTACTCCATTATAAATGTCTAATACGAGATTTTATCACGATTCCGTTCGTTCGCCTGTGGCAACTTCGTATGTAATCATCCCAAATTATAAATATCTGCAGCTTTAATGCTACCTATGGATATCGTTCAGTATAACGGTCGAGAGGGTTTCAGACGAGAATTTGGATGGTTCGAGTTTTAGGCAAGGTGGTTTCGGGTTCTGTATTTTACGCAATGGGTTCTCGATCAATAACATCTTCAATGTTAACTTCCAATCGTTGCTTTTTCTATCTAAAAGCCTAAAACTATTCAACAAAGTGCTTTTCAATCTATCAATATTCCGTTTAACAATATCAATGCTTTTCTGGATCAAAGTACTAGTTATTACTAGTTATTGGTTAAAAGAGCAATTTAATTCTCAAATCATTTAATCAAGAAAGATCTTCTAGTTGCTTGTGTTGAATACTCAATTTTTTACACTCCCCTCTTCTTCGGATAACCATTCCATTGCGTTTATCATTTGCTTAAAGTAATCCCTCTCTCGGTGTTCATTTTTTAGTTAAATTATGAATTAACTTGATAACGATAAAGCATTTGTTTATATGAGTATACACAATGACAAAAAAAACTTATAAGCTCATCGCGCAAATTACTGGTAAATTTCAAGATAAGGATCATCACATATTTACCGCTTACAGACGAAATTAGAAAACTGATGAAATAAAAGAGTATCGAGCTTATGAAACCAAAGCTGATAAAGGAGTTTGACAAGATAATTAATAAAAGATATTAAAAAAAATTGCTACTATTGCCCGTTTAAAAAACTGACGAGAATTACCCCTTAAACCCTAACTAAAAACTCAGAAAATGTTTCCCAATTTATCCAGCTAAGCTGTTTCAATAGTAGTTTTGTAATTCCTTACTTCCTTTTGGGAAGAAGTTTCTTGAACAGTAATGTTTTCTATTTCTTACTGCTCCGGTCGTATTCTTGTAAGTAGTATTTTGCAATATCTAAAACAATAAAAACAAATAATAAAGGCGAGTCCAATAACTTGTATAGCAATAAAAGCCGCGAATCTGATGAAAAGTTCCACAAAACTACTTGTTATTTCATCTAAGTTTACATATATGTTTACCAACACTGCCGCACCAATGGATGCAGCAAAATCAAGAACCTTAAGCAACATTGATACAACATCATTGTCTTCCTCTTCAGATGTGTTCACTGTTTCTTCAGATGTTTCCATAATAATCTGTTTTAGAATTGGTCTGGATATTTTCTCGCAAAGAAGGAATAAAGATTCGATAAGTTATATGTGAGAAAGTATACTTGCTACCAAAAAGTTTATATATAATTATAATTATATATAAACTTGCAAGAAGATTTTATTCATAAAGGGTACGAAAATTTTTTTACTTTGGGCTTTGGTCAGCAAGTATATGTAAAAGTCGGATTTATGCTAGAAAATGACACAGGATTACATTACGCTCACAACATAAATTAAACAAAGACAATTAAATGCAGTGAATTGGAACATTCCATTGAGAATAGTTTAGAATCGTCGTCATTCAGATTTATGCTTAAAAAATGACACAGGAGCCCATTACTTCCACAACATGCATTAAATGATGACAATTAAATGCTGTGTTGGTGAGCAAAAGAACTGGAATACGGTCCAGTGTTCCATTAAAAATAGTCCATAAGTCGTCATTATTCAGTTTTATGCTTAAAAATGACACAGGAACACATATCATGCATTAAACGATACAATTAAATACAGTGTTGGTGAGCAAATGAACTGGAACACTGGTCCAATGTTCACTGGGAATAGTCCATTGGTAACACTACTGGATCACTGATTTATTGTTAATTAACTTGGTTATAATTACCTATTAAAACATATTTTAGATAATTTTATTATTGTTATTTAATTCAATAAAGTGCAAGTTAATACTTACCAATTTCATTTGATAAGGATAGAGACATTAATCAGGTGATTTTTCAGGGAGGAGTCTGAACAAAATCAGGTGTAGATCAAAATCAGGTGGGGGATGGGGTAAGCTCTCCCTATTAATCGGAAATCACCTGATTAATGTTTTTATCCTAAAGAGATGATGTTGGATGTGTCATAATAAAGTTGTAGTTGTTCTTGAAAAAGCTGTTTCATATTTTGCAATCTAAAAGAAAAATAGTAATTAATTAATGAAACCAAAAAAAATGTTTAATTTCACTTAAAAAAACATATAAATTGGCACTTGTAAAACATAAACGTTTAATATAAATTTTAATAATGAAATGATAATTTAATTTATATTTAGAATAGAAAGTGCCTATATTAGCTTTGCAAAAAAATTCCTGAGAAAAATCTTAATACTAATTTTAAATCAGGCTTAGATTAGGTTAAATATTTTGAAATATTTCCTGAATAATAATATTTAATATGGAAAAACTGAAATAAATCTGATAATAATTTTTAACTGGCTTATATCAGGTTTATTTCAGATTTTTTCCTAGATTAAATATTATTATTCAGGAAATATTTTGAAATATTTAACCTGATTTAAGTTTGATAAACTCGAATTTTATCAAATCAAATACAGGAAATAATATAAAATATTTAATTATTTCAGTATTTGATTTTTTATCAGTTTTTATCAGATTAAATATATATTAATTTATGATAAATCATTATTCATATTTTTAACTTTAAAAAATACTTTTATTTTTTATTTAAACTAAATTTTACTTAATAATAATATAATATTTAAAAAATATATAAGAAAAAAAGAATATTTAATAAAGTTAATATTATAATTAGAAAATTTTTTACAAATAATACAAATATTAATATTATTTAGCTAAAAATATACTAAGATTTATAATTTAACTAAAAATAAAAAATAATTATATTGAGTATTATATTCAAAATATTAAATTTAAAAAAAATATATAAATTATTATATTTTTAAATAAACTTTTTTTAAATAAAAGATAAATATATACAAATATATCTTTTTATATATTTGCTTATTACTTAAAGATTAAAATTAATATATAATAACTTTATTTTAATAGTTCTATTTATCAAAATATTCTTATTTACTTTAAATAAAAAAATTATAAAATAATATTTACTAAATAATATTAATAATATATATTATTATTTAGCTTTAATAATAGTTATAACTTATTATAATATACTAAAAATTAAATTATATATAATATTTAAGATATTTTTTCTTTAATTATTAATTAAATTCTTTTTAATAATAAGAAAAAATTTTATTTTTCCAATTTAAATAATTTTATATAATTAAATAAATTGAAAATAAAACTTTAATTATAATATAAATAGAATTATACTTAAATTTTAACTAACTAAATTTCTTTAATTTACGAAAAATAAATTATTAAATTAGTTAATAAAATTTTTATTACTAAATTTACTAAAACTAAATAATTTAATAATAATATTGTTAAAAATTAAAAATTATTTTAAATTTGAACATAATTTACAATTTAATTTGAATAAAATATTATTATTTAATTTATTAAAATTAAATAATTATATAATATATTTTTTATTTAAATCAAACTTATAAATTATAAAATATTATAATTTTATTTTATTGAATTTTAATTTATAATTTATTTATAAACTAAAAAAATTAATTTTTGTTTAATTATTTTTTATAGAATATTATATTAGAAAAATTGAATTTTATATAAATTTTTAAAATATTTAGTATATAAATAAATGTAAATTATAAAATTAATTATAAAACTATAAAATTAAAATATATTTTATATAATTATTTATTAAATAATATATTACAAAAAATATATATAATGTAAGTAGGAGTATTATGACGAAGTTAATGTTATTACAATAAAAACTTTATTAATTGGAAAAAAACTTAATACATTCATAATAGCACATAAACTAGACGCTATTTAGAATAAATTTAACACAAAAAAAGTGTAGTAAAATAAATCATTTTGGGACAAAAATGATCGTTGCATAACATGATACATAAAATCGGATTTTGAGGGGTGTAGGGATATTTTGACGAAGAAATTTTTTTTATCATTTGCGCTTTTGGCGCTCTTTATCTTGCTTTTTTTGCTCACGTTCTTCTTTTTTTTTTGCTAGTTCAAGTTCCCGTGCAATTTTTCTTTGAGTTGCCAAATTTTTTTTTTGGTTTCTTTCTGCGATTTTTGCTTCCGCTTCCTCATTTAACTTGTTTAACTTTCTTCATTAGTAAGAAGTTGCGCAAAAGGAAGAGTTTTTCTTTTTTTAGGGACAGAAACTTCGGATTCAGTTTGATTTTCTAAAGAAACTTCTGGAATTTCAGTCTGTGAAACACGAGAAATCGCATACTTGAGAACTGAACGTAAGGAACTCCTTCCAAGATTTTTGTAAGTTTCTAATTCATCTGTTGTTGTTGCAAGTTGGACTTTTAACGTTTCGTTTTCATTCATAATTAACTCGTAATTTTTTTCTAATTGGATAATATTTGAACGAGTGGTTAGTCTACTAGATGATTATGATGCTGGAGGTAACTTGACTAGTTGTGTAGAAAATTGACTAAATGAAGGTACATTTTCAAATTTTTCTGTTGTTAATGATGGATTTAAGTGATCTGGACTAATAGCATCAGGATTAAATGGCCATATTCTGGTAGCTCTGTAGGCATTGCAGATAGCTGATGGTATATAAGTCGTGATAAAGACAGAGCCAAAAATCTTTGCAAAGATATATTTGATTATTATTTTTTCATTATTGTCATTGTGATATTTTTCACATTCTTTGTTATATTCCTTTTTTAATTTTGCAAAAGGAATTTCGGATGATTGTAACACATGTGTGTGTGAGGTGGAAGCGTATAAAGAAGAATTCGATTTTTGCGACAGAAATTGATACTTGTATAACTTACATGGCTTTTGTGGTCATCGAGTATTAATAAGACTGATCGGATGAATGGGATCGAATTAATAAAATGATTAAGGTACAATTGAAAAAGTTCTTCACGCATGTATCCTGAGTTTGTAAAATCCATTACGATTCCAGAAGGTGCACCTTCTAACAAGCCAGGAATTGCACAAATACCCTTATAGATAAGCAGAGATGGAATATATGTTCCTGCGGCTGAAATTGTTGGAGCAGCCAAAACATATTCATGTGAATTTCCTTGCGCCATTTTATGAACTTGACATGTGTCTTTTTTCGCAATAACCTTTGCCAACGCGGATGCAAGAATAAATCCAGTTTCGTCCATATTCCAAATTTATATAGCCGTAAGTGAATTTTCATCAATGATTTGTTTAAGCTTGTTAAAATGATCTCTAACAATAGTTGCATTGGCTCTTTGTGTACGAGCTTCAGATAATTCTTGCAGAACATGAAATGATAACTCGTGATGATTTTTCATAAAACGATATCACCAATCTTGATCAGGTTCATTCTCATTAAATGGATGTGATCATTTGTTTTGATTCATAATTTCCATCACACAATGATTGACTCCAGACTTTGTTAAACCAAACCCAAGCTTTTGCATATTAATGCAATAGCCAACAAGCTGTTCTTCCTCATATTTAATAAGTATAGTTGCTGGTCCTTGATGATTAAGAGGACCATTATTTTTGATTGCACGTCGAAGGATGGCTTCTGAAAGTCCAAAATCTTTCGCTACACTATTTACACTTGGGCATTTGGAACCAGCGGGATATTTTTTGAGCTCATTGAGTGTGACACAAATTGACTCACACCGATTAATATAAACTTGTGACATTATTTTAATTTAAAATAGCATGTGATAAATATAATAACATAATTTGCTCACTAAATGTAATGTGACAAATTTAATAAAGTACTTCTTTAATAAATAAATAAAAATTTAAAGAAACAAAAATAACGTGTTAAAATACCCTATCTTTTGATCCACTGATCAGAATCAAGCGATTTTTGCATCATTTGATTCGTTTCAACAAGACGAATCAAATGGTGTAGAAATCGCTTGATTCTGATCGGTGGATTGCGTGCTATAATCAAATATCTGCAGTTCGTCAAAATACTCTCATCATCATAATATCCTTATCTTTTGATTCACCAATCAGAATCGAGTAATTTTTGCATCATTTGATTCATTTCAGCAAGATGAATCAAATGATATAAAAATCACTTGATTTTGATCGGTGAATTACGTGTTATAATCAAATAACTGCAGTTCATCAAAATATCCATATTTATCATAATACCCCTATTCACCTTAATTTTTTTAAAATTAAAACAAATTATAAAAAATTTCTTATCAAGTTGTAGCTTTAATAAAGAGTTATCAATCTATAAGAGAATTTTTTTATTTTAATTCTTGATTTAAAAATTATAAAACTTTGTATAAGCATTCACCAAATTTTTTAGCTTATATATAAATTAAATAATATTTAAATTATATAACATTATCAAAAATAAAAATCAAAAAATTTTCTTTTTAAAATTATAATTAAAATTATTAATTTAAAAAAGAATTTTTTTATTTAATAATTTATTTAAAGTTATTACTTGAATTATGGAATTTTTAGCTTATTTTTATATATTTATTCCAATTTTTAAAAAGTAAAAATAATTATTTATTAAAGCCAATATTAAACAAATCTTTTTTATATTTTTAATCTTTAATAAAAAATATATTAGATTTAATAAAAAATATATTAAGATACAAATTTATGAAATTTAACAAACAATTTTTTTTACTAAATCTATAAATTTAAAAAATAACATTTTTTGTTAGATAATTAAAATAGTTTATTTTATACTATTTAATTCTATATTATAAAGATTTATAAAATTTAAAAACAAAATAAGTAAAATTAACTAATTAATATTCCCATTATTATTCTCTAATTTATCTTTTTAGAAATTAACTTATCTTATTTGTTGTAATTTTTGATAAAACAATATAATAATTATATATAACAAATAAAAGATCAATTTCTACTGACAAAGAGATAATAATTTATTATATAAATATGTTATTATTTTGAAAAATTAAAAAATAACAAAAATTAAAAAATATTATTTTAGAAAAATACTTGAGACTAATAATAATCAAAGCAATAATAAATTAAATAGATTATATATTAATAAATAAATACAATTTTAACATACTTTTATAAATTAAATAAAGTATAATATTATTTATAAATAGTTTAAAGTAGCAATTAAAGTTCTTTCGAATTAGATTTGAGATCAATCTAAATTAATAATTTATATTCATGTTAATAATACTTAACAAAATCTTTCATCATATCCGTTTTAAAAATGTTTTGTAATGAATAATGGAATCTGTAATAAATGAATAAATCTTTTGATTAATAAAATATTAGTTAATACATGAAAATAATAATTATTTTTGAAAATAAATAAAAGTGCAAAATGTATATATTTAAATATCAGTAAAATATGTACAGTGGCAATCAGAAATAACGCAACAACGTCAAAATTTATTAATTAAACATAGTAAAATGTGGATTTTTCTCTTTATATAAAAGTTTTCAATTTTACTAATAAATATTTTATATTTTTACATTAAAATGAAGATAATATCACATATTTTAACATATATTTTTTTTCAGATTTTTTTAGATTTAATTTGATAAAAGCTGTTCTAATTGCATATAAAGTCAGTTATTTTTTTATATGTTTTAATTAATAAATTTTGACATTGTTGCATTATTTCTGATTGCCACTGTATATAAGTCAATTTTTTAAAAAAATTGACTAATACGATATCGACTTGCTTGGAACACTAATTACAATAAAAAAAAATAGAATTTTTCAGAAATATTCTAATAATTATACATGTCCGAGTTATACCAAAAATAAAAACGAATTTGACTTATCTATGAGGTTACTTCTTCGTGCTGACAATGATGTCGACCGTATGGTGCATAACGTCTAAAATCATCAACATTTTGTATTTTATAAAATGTATAAACTTCTTTACTAATACAAAATTTAATTCGTGAATATGATATATTTTATAAAATACATGTACATGTACAAATGTTTGATGACTTTAGATGTTACGCACCATAACGGTCAAAATTTCTAATTTATTCAAGCTTATTTTTCCCACGCCGACGAATCCTCGGACATCAAAATTTCATGACGATATGTATGATACATTATTTTTCCCGCCTAATTTACCCACGCCGAAAATTCTCGAATTATTTAAATACGAGTCTTTAACACAAACAATTATTTCTTTCACTCGACAAAACTAAACTTTTAATTCTCCATCCCTGAAACTGTAATTATTCATAATGACTTCTCAACAAAAAGTTACTGAAGATGCTCATATTCTCGGAGACTTTAGCGTTACTCCTATTGGAGTTGGTATCAGTACTTCCAACGTGAGTTTAAATTTATTGATTAAAGATTTTTTTATATTTAATCACGCTCATTTCAATTTTTTATTAGTACATTGCTGAAACTCAAAAAGTCTTGAAGGAATCCGGGTAAGTTTTCTAATAATGTTACATGTACTATTGCTTTTTAGTTTCTATATGTTGCTTACATATTTTTCTCCAGTTTGAATTATAAACTTCACGCGAGCGGAACGAACATCGGTCAGTATCTATTATTTAACTTGTTGATGTTAAACATTACATAAATTAATGTATGCTTCTATCGGTCCGAACCACTTAAATATAGAAGGGCGCTGGGACGATGTAGTGTCCACTATTCGTAAATGCGTTGATCGTTTGCACGAGATGGGAGTCTCGCGTGTTGACACTAACATTCGTATCAATGTAAGTGTAATAAATTCATTTATGTGATATAATATACGTACATGTATTAAATATTGAAAACTCAACTTTTTCATTAGACTCGCACTGATAAGAAACTGACCTTGGAAGACAGGTAATTTCTTTTCTGAACAAAATATAATTGTCGAGTATATATGCTAAATACTGGTTTCTTTTGGCATTAGCATTCGTATCACTGGCGAGATGTAGGAAGTCTGTTGTTAATCAATCATAGCGATAGAATATACTCATTGTAGCAATGATACCGATACGTATCAGTATAATTTAGCATCAAATAAAAGTCATTTTTAAGTGTTCTATCGCTATACGTAACATATACCAACCGATATTTCTATTTCTGTCATTTTTATCGCTCCAGCCTATTGTCACTTCCAAGAATAATTCATTATCCATAATGTTACATGTACATAAAAAAATATTATTAAAAAAGCCCTTTCTCAAACAAGCGCTTCAACTTTTTCCAGTAGAAATCTGGAACGAAATAATTTCCAATACATATATTACACATTTCGCTCTTCGTCAAACTTGCTCTACAATTGATCGCATCACGAAGACACCTTTTCTTGAACAGGGGATGTTTATCTCGCCGCTGATCTTGTATTGCCAGAAGTTGTTTATCGAATACCAAAATATATCGATACGGTGATTAAGCAACAACTCGGTGAAGAACCATTGAATTGGACGGATAATGTTTATGAATGGGAAAATTATGATGAGAAAGTGGGACCTATTTGAGTTTCGTTGTGAAGTTGGTAGGAAAGGTAAAGCAAAAAGTCGGATTCATCTTGAGTGAACAAAGAGGTTTAATGAAGAGAACTTGCGAAGTGTTATTGCGCTGCTAGAAAATTTTCCCATTTAGGTAACTTCGTATTACATAATTCTTTATTTACATTTATCAAGCTCAAGTAATTCGAGTATTGAAGGATATAATTGAAGACCATAATCTAAATGCAACTCGATTACAAAAATACTATCAACTTGGAAGACTTTATCAAAATGTGCCAAATGAATATAAAAGAAGATTAACAGCACTCAAGTATGACTTGGAAAAGAAGTGTAAAACTCGAGCCATGGACACACATCTGAGAATTGCTATTGTTTATAAAGTCGCGATGAAAATTGTGAACGTGAATGGAAAAACGGAACAGTAACGGTAAATCCTCTTTGAAATTAGGACCATCAAAAAAAAAATCTACATGTAATTCACTGCAATCCGTAAAATCTTCATTTAACGTAAAAAAGCAAATTTCTGACGATAGCTGGAATTTTTCCCATGAAATTCGAAACACTCCGAAACCTCGTCGTCCAAACCTCGGTAAAGGCCTAGAAGAATTTCATAAAAAGATATTGACATCTTTTGTCAGCCTGATTATTTCTTTTCACCCGAGGATTTAAACACAGCTCGAAGAAATAAATCGGTTTTGTGAGGACGAATATTCCGATGAGAATAGACCGCCTGTTTTGTCGACCAGTATGATGATGGTGTTGGCATTAAGACGATTTTCAAAGAACCAAGGAAAACGCGCGTTTTGAAGTTTCCACCAGAATTGACCGCATCAACGTAGGTTCTGCATCATCAAGCTGTAAATCATGGTTTAAAGAGTTTAAGTTTTGGTGAAGGGGTGGAAGATTTTTAGTTGCTTTGAAAGGGGATGTTGAAATTTTTAATTAATCAGTTTACGTATTTATTTTTTTGTGTTGTTACTTTATTATTAGGTTAGGTTTTTAATTCTATAGTGGGATAGCATAAGATATCCACTTTTAGATGGCATCATATCAAGTGTTATAACTTAAAGATAATATAAAAAAAATAATAATAGCTTTTTTTCTTTCTTGAGATATAAATTTGTGAAATTACAATTTTGACGTTAAATCATCGCAGAAATGTCAAATCATATTTTCCTCATTTCTGCGTCAGTTAATCGCTTAAAGTGACGCAGCTTTTTATTTCATTACGCATTTTTTGATGTATTAAAAGACGTAGAGTTTATCGTTTTTAAAGAGTGGGACTGAAGAAGAGTACGTAACTAAATAACATGTATAAAAGGAAAATATTGATTTTTATAACGTTTTGCGTACCCTATAACGAACACTCTTGAACAGAAATATTAACGTTAACGTAATACTAACGCTAATGTTAGATAATAGTAAACGACGACGAATTGCTAGGATCAAGCAAGTAACAAAATTACATTACTGCGTTTTTTGTTATTGTATTGGTATATGTATATACAGTATGCGTACTGTTACCGTAGTAACACTAAATTCTCTAATTCCATAATCTTTACACGAATTATACTATTATTTATCCCAATCCC